CCACACTTGATAAGAGTGAACGGAGCCAATGACACGTGAGAGAATGGTCTTCGAGAGCGTCGATTGCAACCATGTGAGAAGCATTTGATCCTGGACCTCCCAAGTTTCATATGCTGGATTAACAATATCAGAATCACAATCAGCATTGGTCAAATACCGAGGTGGAATTTGCGGATTAACCACAAACCATTGAAGTTTGTGGGACTTGATGACTGGTTCGATCTACTGCCTCCAGTGAAGGTAATTCGAATCATCAAGTTTTTCAGCTATGGAGTTGGAGAAAAATTGTGAAAAGGGAGAGAGATTATTTGACGTTGCCATAGAAGAGATGAGGAAGGAAATTTAAGGTTCTGGTACAGGATCAGAAGGCTCTGATACCATGTTAGATAAAATCAAGGGAGATAAAAATGTAATAGAGAAGCTTCATTATCATTGTTGCTTACAAATGAATACACGGGTTCAGAATATATAGGGAACCCTTCCTAAAATATAGCAGAGAGAGAAAAGTGTGAAAACGGTTGTAAAAAGCAACCGGCAGAGAGAAAAAATCATGAGAGGTGGCTAGACAGATGTCCACTAAAAGATTTTGAAGATATCCTAAAGATATAACAGAATGCAAAAAGTAAATAAAGCCTAACAAACAAATATTCCCTTTTTGTTGTAATTTTATATACACTAACAACTTGCTCAAAGATGCTTCAATTACGTTCACAACCTGAAGCACTACATGTCAAGCTAAGGATCCTTATTGCAAGTTGTTGCAAATAGGGAGTATCTAAACCATACATCCACCACCATTGAGCTACAAATGAAAACAAAATATGTTAAACGTAGACACTTGAGCAAATGACTTAAAGAATAAAAGTTCAGAAGTTGCAATGTTTTGTCTTTTACCCGGTGTAACTTCACCCCACATTGCTATAGCAGTTGTGGACTTAAACATACCACTTGCAGCTTTATAGTGGGCCAACTCCTTATGAACAATCTTCTCCATCTCCAAATCTCCCAGCAATTTATTGCTACAATCATACAAACCCCTAATAATCTCACCATTAAACTCCATCTGTGGGTTGGCATAAAAGAACCCCAGGTTCAAAAAGTGACCAACAACATGTAAAGGGAGATGAAGCTGAATATCCCATCTTTTATCAATGATTGCAAACACATCCTTGTATATTGTATTTGCTTTCATTTTTAAAAGATTTCATAATGGTTTCCTTCGCCTTGTCCATTGCCTCATATATGTAGCCCATGGTTGGTTTTTTCTCTCTATCCACAAGCCTAAGCACTTTCACAAGAGGAGCCATCACTTGTAGAATGAAAACTACATTCTTCCAGAAACTAGCCATCAAGACAATTTTAGTGGCTTCCTTTCCCTTGGCCTCCTTTGCTAGTTTGTTTTCATTCTACTCTTCTGACACAAACATCTTTCGAAGATTAGTTTTCTCTTGATGAATCCTCTCCAAGGAAAGATAAGATGTTGCAAATCAAGTGATTGCGTGCCTCACTAACTCCCTCTCACCAATAAAAAACCTCAACATGCTCAAAGTGCTTGAATGGCTATAAATGAAGCCAACAAGAGAGATAGCTCGCTAAATGGCCTTCTTTGTATTGGGCGGCTTACCAATGTCCTCTAATATCAAATCTATACAATGAGCAACACAAGGAGTCCAATAAATTTTTGGTCTTTTTTCCTCTAGCAACCTACCAACAAGAACATAATTACTTCCATTTTCCGTTATAACTTGGACAACCTTTTCCTCTCCAATCTCCTCCACAATAGAATCCAACAACTCAAATATCTTTTCACCGGTCTTTACATAGTCAGATGCATCAATCGACCTTAAGAACATTGTCCCAGAAGAGGAGTTCACCAAAAAGTTGATTATGCTTCTTTGTTTCCTATCAGTCCAAGCATCTGACATTAAGGAACACCCAAAACTTGCCCATTGATCGTTTAGTGGCTTCATTAATTCATTAGTATACTCCACCTCTTTTTGAAGTAGTGGTACTCTAATGTCATGATAGGAAGGAGCTTTCAAATGCTTCCCAAAATGCCCAATTTCATGAAGCATGTCTTGAAAACTTTCCAACTTTATCATGTTGAAAGGTATGCCAGCTTGGTACCAAAAACGTGCTATATATTGGTACACCCTTTTTGTAGGTTTTTTTTTTTTTTTTTTTTTTTTATCACAAAGCACTCTTATGCCCGTTTGCACCACCTTGTCTTTCCTATTTTTTGCAACTGTAGATTGAGATTGATTGTAAAGGTCCATAAGTCCCTTCCTAATATCCTTCAATCTAAAATCACCAATTGGAGGTAGCCGAGCATCAGAACTTCCAAATTCCATAAATCCTTCTTCACATTGTGCTTCAATCTCTTGCATTGCCTTCTTGAATGCTTCATTTTGTTTCTGCTTCTTACCATCCATAACTGTCCTTATCTCAACCTTGACAGCTTTAGGAGCCATCAACCAAGCTATAACATTGCCTGCCTTTCCAATCAAATGTTGTTTCACCCTTGTGATGCCTCCTTTCATAATCTTCCAACAATAGTTACAAAAAATCTCATTTGTATCATTCTCTCTCACTAGTGTATAGTGCTTCCAAGCAACATCAGTCCTCTTAGAATTAATGGAATTGGAAGATGATACTGTTTGTGGCTGGGTGTTTGATTCTGCTTCCCCTGACATTGTGGTAGACTATGGTGGTCACGTCGGAGGCGGTGGTGATGGCAGAACTCAAAGGAGGAGGCGCGCAAAGGGAGAAGGAGTGGAGTAGAATTGCACGCGGAGGGAAAGTGAATGGTTGCACGTGGAGGAGCAACGATGGCATTCGGAGGAGCAGTGGTGGCGTGCGAAGGAGCAACAGTCGCGCGTGGCGGAAGAAGAAGCAGTCACACGGAGGGAGAAGAGAAGAATCACGTACGAGGTGGTGGTTGCATCGGAGGCGGTGGCGGCGAGTCTCGTTGAAGGAGGCACGTTAGTCGCACACAGTGGTAGAAGTAGTCGCACGGAGGGAGAAGAGTAGAATCGTGTGCGCGAAGGGAGAAGTAGTAGGTCTTGTAGAAGGTGGCGGTGGCAGCGGTGGTGGTAGTAGTAGGGGTGGGCAAAAAAAACTGAACTGAACTGAACTGGTGGTGAACTGAACTGAATTGTACTATAAAAAACTGAATTGTTTGTAAAAGAATTGAACTGAACTGTTTAAAAAAAAACTAAACTGCACTGAACTATTGGAAAGTTAGCTGTACTGAACTATAAAACTGAACTGAATTATAAAAATTGAACTATTTTTATAAAAGGATAAAAATTAAATGTGTCTAACATGTTATATCTTAATGAATTAACTCAATAGTCTAATAACCAAAACTTTAGAAAAAAAAGTGATAAAAAAAAATTGTATCAATTTTGTCGAATCTAACGGATCAATTGAGATATGTTGGACTACTTATTTTTAGGCTTAAAATTCACTGAGTTTTTTTGACTTAATTTTATATTTTTTTCTTTGAAAAATTTAAATAAAATGGAAAATAAAGTAATGTTGGCAAATGTGTCCTATTTTGATAGATCAATGAGTCAAAATTGTTCAATTCAAAATATCATAACAGTTAAGTGCAGTTTAAATTGTAGTTCAGTTTAAGTTTTTATAGTATAGTTCAGTTCAGTTCAATGACACAAAAAAATAGTTCAGTTTAGTTCGTCTGAACTAATATTTAGTTTAGTTCAATTCATAAGAACTATTTAAAAGTTCAGTATAGTTTTTATAAGTTCAGTTCAGTTCATTTTGCCCACCCCTAGGTAGTAGGTCTTGTCGGAGGAGGAGACAATCTGAACTTAGGGTTAGGGTTTCTGTTGTGCGCGGCTAACCTATTCTGGAAAATCATGTTAATGGATCGCCCAAACTTGGAAAAAATTAAAAAAAGCCCATAATGGCGCCATGAACACCATGCCGTTACCGCCATAATGGCCACCATACACAAAATGGCGGACCCCCATACACAGGCCGAACGGCCATAACGGATCTCGGCGGCGGTTGCCGCCATATTGTTATGGCGCTGCCATAGCGGCCATTTGACAACACTGCATAAATGCACAATATTTATATAAATATTGTTCATTGCTGAATTCCACATTAACTAAACATATGATCCAAATAGAGCTTACTAAAAGCTTGGGCAATCCTCACCTCATGAGCTAGCATCTGGAATTGTGTTAGGCCCAATACAAATTCAATAATCATTTCTCATGAATGCATGACTATATCAGTGGATGATAATCGCAATTTAATAAAAAAAATATGCCTATGATCATAATAAAAAGAGAACCATAGATACACATCTTTCCTTTGTCTTTATACTTGTCAGCTACGAACATGTCCCAAAAATTACATATCTTTTCCCAAACCCATGATGTTAGAATGCCACAGAAAGTATCATTAGTCCTATTCAAAAAAGTCTTTTATATAATAGTCTACTATTTACTATAACTTTAAGGATACAAAGGAAAAGTTAGGTAGAACCTCATGTAATTTTAATCCTATTCAAAGTATTAAAGGTGTATCCAAACATATCGGTCACTAAAACTTTAAAAAATAAAATAAAATAAAGTTGGAGTATACTTCTAGATATGTATCTAAGGGTATTGCATATGTATCAGTATCAAATACAGGTATGACACATAATTTACAATAGAGAGCATTTGGGCTTCATAGTATGATGGTGGTTTGGTGAAGTATCAAAGAAAATGGAAAGATGTACATATTTTTTTCATTGACTTGGAAAGTTCTATGATAGGTTTGCAAGTCTTGGAAGAGGCCTGTGATAGTAATCCTCATGTGGATTTAGAGAGACCTAAGGGTGGTGTGTTACATTACTAATAGATTTTCCTTTCTGGTTGATTTTTCTTTTGTTGGTGGAGTATCTTGTCTAGCTAAGCTTGAACTTCTAGCTTTTAAAAAGCTTACTTCTGTTTAACTGATATATGGTTTTTCCCCCTTTGCAGACACATTCAGTCATTGCATAGCTTACATAATGCAATCAGTTCACAACTTGTAGCTGCAGAAAATCTCTCTGAGTGCCTTTCAAAACAGATGTCAGCATTGAGTTTAAGATCTCAAACTGAGGAAAGGAAGAATGTTAAGGAGCTGTTTGAAACAATAGGAATTCCATACGATGCTGCATTTGGCTCTCCTGATATGAAAGGTTATATGAAGACTCCTCCTAGTAAGAAGATCATGTTTTCTGATTTGACTGCTAATAAAGATCAATCTAGGAGAAATCACGCCAGTGTGATGAAGAGTTGTGAACCAGAATCTGCCAGGAGGAGAAGAGACTCACTTGACCAGGTATTACTGTGTTAGTTGCTTATGGATTACTTTACTTTTGCTCATTATACAAATATGCGGCAGAATTAAGCAGACAGATTTGTTTGTGCTGTTCAGTTGGTTGCTTGAATAAAGATTGTGTTAATGTATTTCTATTTATTTCTTCTACTGTTGAGTATCATAAACCAATGGAATCTTTGGTTTGATTATTATCATGTTTTCAAGATTTCTGCTAGTAGATGTGATTTTCTGTGCGTATGTTTTAATTGAAATAGCCCATCTATCTATTGAATATTGATTTAAAGGTGAGTGTTTTACATATTTGTATTAGTAAAAAAGAGGGGAGTGGACTGAAGAGTGTTTATGGAGGAGAAAAAGGAATGCTGCTAGAGGAATAGTGGTGGGAAAATGTAACAGAATGTAAACATGGTAGTGAGGTGAGGTATTGCGGAGAGGAGATTGTTCAGTGATTGGAGAGAGAAATGGAAACATGATTAAGGAGAGGGTGAGAAAAGTGGAGAGGCATAAAAGAATTCAAGTTAATTGGTGTTTCTGTATCAGCTTTGATTGTTAACTCGTATCACTGTTTTCTACATTCTTTTGTTCTTGTAACTTGTTTTCTGGTTATTGAGCAATATTAATTTGGGCACTTAACTGTGGCTTCGGCAACCCTCAAAAAGTGGGTAGTAGTGCTTGGTTTTAGGATCTCTAGAATGCCAATGGCTTCCTGCCGGGTAGTCATGGGGTGCCATTCCCTCTACCATTTTTTATGTACCAAAAGGAACAGGCCTTGGCTTTATCAATTTGCTATTGTTTGGTGTAATTGGTTGGAAAGGCAAGTTAGAATTTTTACTGATGAAGTGTTGTCTCTGCCCTCTTGAGTACATTTGGGGTTGAGTAGTTCAGGTTGTTTGATTTTTAGTTGTTTAATTTTATACCGACACATTGATTGAATTATTGAAATTTGATACAATATATTTGATGAATTTTATAATTTAAAAGAATGATATCCATAAGTTACATAAACAATACAATATATTTAACGATTATACTTTATTGTTTAATTAAATTTATTATTAAATTAAAACGGTTCCTTCTCTGATAGAGTTTTGGATCTGTCGCTGTGTGTATGGTTCTGAAATATTGCTTTGATTAATGATTATGACTAGCGAGTTTTACCGACTTTGTTGCAGAGTTGGACCTGTTTTGAGCCTCCTAAGACTACCATTAAAAGGATGTTACTGCAAGAACTTCAGAAACTGAATAGGAACGAATCATTAATTTCAATGAATAAAGAAAATAAAGTTTCCACATTGCAGGAATCCGTTCCTCGTCAAATAGATGACAGAATTCCTTCAATTGTCTTCCCTGCGTCTAAAATGAAAGGTGAGCAGCAAGCAATTGTTGTGCTGTTTCATAACCAAAATAGTTTATAATTTCTGACACTTTTCTTTCTTTATGAATATACTTGCAGCAAGCATTCTGGATTCTCATCTTGAACTTGAAAAGGTGTCACAAAACTCGAAGGCATTTATATCTGCTGACAGCAACCAAGTACCCACTCAGTTTTCAGAGTCCAAGTCTAGTATTTTTCAGAAAAACAATAGTTTAGTCATTCCCGCACAGCCTGCATTCCGTTTGTCACCTACAGTGGCGCATGGTCATTCCACAGAAGCTAAACATGCTGAAAAATCAACTGTTCAAAAGTTTGATATAATTTCAAATAGTGAAAATAAGCCTACTCTGCATTGGAAAATGCCTCAACAATCCTCAATCTCTACCTATTCAACCACAGAAACACCTTCAATGCTGATTAAATCTGTTGAATTGCCCATTACAAATACTAAAATGACTACGGCTGCAAGTTCTACAACCAGGGGCAAATTTTCAAGTGCATTTACTCCCGAGTCTAGGAGAAAAGACCTCCCATCCTCCGAGTCACACTCATCCGCTATTTGTGCACCTTCAACCTTCGTTGAAAAAGTTACCGAGTTCGATGTAGATAAAAGTTTGCCCAAAGAAAATATCCCATCAGTGCCCACATTTAAATCTCTGTTTTCTCCAACTCTTAAAACATCTTCCTCTTCATTGTCGTCATCTGTCTCATCTGCAGCAGTGCCTCCAGTTGTGGTGTCCGTGACATCAACCAGTTCGTTGACTAGTTTAAATGCCAATACAGATTCTAATCATGTATCATCTTCACCATCAACATTTCTTCACTTATTTAATCAGACACCTAAAGACACGGTGTCACCTAACCTACCTGGCTTGAAGTCAACTGTAGACTCACTCAAGTCAGAAATTCAACCAGTTGCTGCGCTTAAATCAGATATTCGACCAGCTACTGTACCTAAATCAGATATTCAACCAGCTGCCATATCTAATTCAAAGACCGATTTAGATGGTGCTGAAGCAGTCACTCAGCTAAAAGAACCTCTAAATGGTGCATCTGAATTAATGCTTGGACCTACAAGAAAAATCGGTCCTACTAACAATCAATCTTCCAACAATATAACAAGTTCTGATCTCAATGCTGTCTCTGTTTCTCAAGCAGCACAGCCTTCTGAAGCTCCGCAGCTTTCAACTTTCCTTCCTCCTGCTAGTGTTTCAAGTGGAAAAAATGAGGGTTTGGATGTTGGAATCACGTATGAGGATGAGATGGAAGAAGAAGCTCCTGAGACAAGTAACACAGCTGAACTTAATTTGGGAAGTCTTGGTGGGTTTGGTATTAGCTCAAGCCCCAACCCATCAATGCCCAAGTCAAATCCTTTTGGAGGTTCATTTAATAATGTAGCAACAAGTTTATCAAGCCCCACAGTTTCATTCTCTGTTCCTAGTGGAGAGTTGTTTCGACCAGCATCTTTTAACTTCTCAAGTCCACAGTCATCTGCACCAAGCCAGACAACTAATTCAGGTTTCTCAGGTGGGTTCAATGCTGTGGCAGCTGTTCCTGCACAAGCTCCAAGTGGGTTTGGGCAGCCAGCACAAATTGGATCAGGGCAACAGGTTCTGGGATCAGTTCTCGGTGGTTTCGGACAATCAAGACAGCTTGGAAGTGGTTTTGCTGCTCCCAGTAGTTTTGGTGGTGGATTTGCTGGCAGTAGTTCTGCTAGTGGCTTTTCAAATACTGCCATTGGTGGAGGTTTTGCTGGCATATCGTCAACAGGTGGAGGTTTTGCTGGCATCGCATCAACAGCTGGAGGTTTTGCTGGTGCTGCTTCCCCTGGTGGCGGTTTTGCTGGTGCAGCTGCCCCTGGTGGTGGTTTTGCTGGTGCGGCTGCTCCTGGTGGCGGATTTGCTGGTGCAGCTGCCCCTGGTGGCGGTTTTGCTGCTCCTGGTGGATTTTCAGGAGCTGGTTCAGGTGGTGGGTTTGGAGCATTTAGCAGCCAAGGAAGTGGTGGTTTTGGTGCTTTTAGTACAGTTGGAGGCAGTAAACCACCTGAGCTGTTCACACAAATGAGAAAGTAGTACTGTTATAATGATTTGAATGCTCAATTTTTGAGTTTATATTTTGAAACCCCGTAAAGAAATTACGCCTGCACGAGTACAATCTCTTGTAGAAAAGAAACGGGATGATTTTAGAATGTAAAATTGTATTTTGTCCGGAACAATTGTTATATCTTTTCCTGAGAAATGTATGAAATTTAGTCATGGTTGTTGTATGATGTGTTCTGTTTTGAAATGATCACTAAAAAAGGAAACTTGTTTTCAATATGTTTAGAATTAACAAATATCTGTTGGAATTAGGAAACCACCTCGATTTAAGTGGTTGATGCATACTAAATTTGGGATTGATGTTCAGATATTATTTTATTATTTTTTAAGAGGGTTGAAATGTAGTTAATATATGAAACAATTAACTTTCATTGTGGAGCAATATTTAAGTCAAAGGGAACAAATTTTTATATATTCAATGGTTTTTAACGGGAGTGAATGTGATTAGGGGTTTAAATGCTTATGGATAACTTGTATTTTTAGTATTCAGGTTTTATTCAATCGATCAAAGATTGACATTGTACAATTTGTGTAATAATTATGTTTTTAACCTTTGATTTGATCTAACAATAATAATAATAATAATAATAATAATAATAATAATAATAAAATTAGTATTATAAGATAATACACTTTATCACTCTTTGTCTGAAAGCGCGGGCTCAATTATTAAGGAGCAAATATTTGAAAGATGACACTTTTTTTTAACTGTGAACAAAATGGGTTCCCCATTATGGACAACATTGAAAGATGATACCTAAACTGTCAAGAACAAGATGGGCTCACATCATCTATAGAAGTTATTAAAAGGTTGGTGGTTCGGGATTGGAATTGTAGTATTCAGCATATTTAGATAGAAGCAAACTTCAGTGTGAATTTCTTGGCAAATTGGGTGCATCATCAGGGGAACCCTTTTTGGACGAGAAGGTTTGCTGCCTTGGTTAATGGCAGATGCTACAGGATCAGCTTTCAACCTGTAGTATTTTGGTTCTTTCTTGTTGCTTCTGTTTTCTCTCTTCTAACACCAAAAAAAATAAAAATCATTCTCACTCTTGTTTAGTAGTGGGGTGTTTTTTTTGGGTTAATAATATTATAACAATACAATATTTATTTTAAATTTTATTTTGTATTAATGTTAATTGTTTGAGTTGATAATAATGTAGTAAATTAATAAATTTATTTTAAAATTTAGTTTGTATTATTGTTTGTTTTATAAGTTGTACTTGCATTGTAACGATTCGGCTGGTCACTACACACTACACAACCCCTCGGCAAGCACACAGAAAAGAGCAAAAGTATATATTTATATACACAAGGTCCAATCTGAGCTAAACATCAGAGTAATCAAAATACATCCATCACTACCCCACTAGGTAGCTAAAACAACAAAAAACATCAAAAGATCAGCTCTATCTGCCAGCTGCAGACCTGTCACAGATCACCAACCTAACCCTGCTCTGCTCCCATATAACGTATGATCATCGCAGTCCAAACACATGGAAACAACAAAGGGTAAGCTAGTGAAAAGAATAAGCATACAAAGCATATATATGTAATATGAACAGCTACAACTATCAGCACATCATCAACATACATCTCATTAACTATACAACAATAAACACACAATGCGTCGTCACGCATATTAGCTCGAAGATCTCCTACAACAGCTCAGCCTTACAACCTACAACAGCTCAGCCTTACGGCCTACAACAGCTCAGCCTTACGGCCTACAACAGCTCAGCCTTACGGCTTACAACAATTTATATCAGCATACAGCACAACACAGCTTAACAACATACAACACAACACTTCTTATCAGCATACAACACAACAATATTATAATTCAACATCATCAATATTCATCAATAACAGCTCAACTCAGCATGAACAACATGTATCAGCATTTTACAACATCAAATAGCATATAGAAAATCATCACCTTCGCGCCCGGCGCACTCCTGGTCGCGCCCGGCGTGGCACAACCAGAGAGCACCAGGGGCCAGCGCACCCAGCGCAAGCATGCTCGCACCCGGCGGGACCCAGCCAGAGAGCCCAAGGCTCACACGCGCCTGGCGCAATACCAATTATGCCCAGTGCACCCCAGGCAGAGATTCTAAGGAGTCTCACGCGACCGGTGTGCCCAAACCCGCGCCCAGCGCGAGGAAGGCAGAGACCTCCCGAGGTCTCGCGCCCAGCGCAATTCAAATTGCGCCCGGCGCCCCCATGGCAGAGATTTCCAAGGAGTCTCCACGCTCAGCGCGACAATGGTCACGCCCAGCGCAGAACCAGAACCCCAAACATGTCACTTACTGATATCGCACCCGGCGCGGTCCAAGTCACGCCCGGCGTGGGCCATCTAGAGACTCCCACTCTCAAGCTCGCCTGGCGCATACACCACTGCGCTCGGCGGGCTTGCCCAAATGGGGTCTTCTGATGGTCGCGCGCCCGGCACAAAGAACGGCGCTCAGCGCGAAACTTAGCAGCAACTTTCAACTTTCAAAAAACTTCACCAAATCCTGCAAACTCAACCAAAAAAACAACATGCAAACCATCCAAAAGCTCACATTTTCATCAAACATCCCAAAAATACCATCTTTTCACACATGCAACCATTAGAAATCAAAAACCCAAATTTCTTCAAGAAACCCCGAAACACCCGAAAACGACTTCCTTCAAATTTCAGCGAATCAGCCATTCACCATCATCAAATGAGTGCTATGACTCAATTACAACTAAAGAACAACAGAATCTAGCTTCCCTTACCTCGGTACGAAGATCCGAGCTCCGGGAAGAGAAGAACAACGGAAGAGGAAGCTTGAATGAAGAAGAGATAGACGGAGAAGAAGAAGGAGAAGCTTTGAGAAAACTCCGCGCCCACAGCTGGCTTCAACACCACTACTCAGCACCTAAACTCCCCACAGCCACCATAAAGGAAGAAAAGAGAGAGTGAGAGCTAATGGTTGAGAGTGAGTGAGAATAGAGAAAAGAGAGGGGGAGTCTACGGGGTCTCACATGCACGATGATATTTCAGTAGTTTAGTCATTCCTGTTCTCTTTCCTCTTTGTCCTCATCTTAGTATTTCTTACTTGTCCTTCGCCATACATTTGATGGTTTTATGTTATACTTGTCCGAATGGGATAGAAGGCTACCTGCAAAAGGCATCTCAATGCTCAAGTTAGTCTTTAGTGTGAGATAGGTCAATGGTAGTTAATTATGGTAATAATGAAAAATGTACCTATTTCATCATCATTATTTATACTAATCTTGACAAGTTTGGGCCCATAAACAAGCCCATAATAAGATTCATTAGCATTAATAATATATGGAGTATCAAACTGTACGAACCATTGTAATGAATTGAGAATTTTTCGACTTGTTTCTTGTGTTTGTGATTGTGTCGAGGAGTCTTCGACTCTCCTCTTGTATCCATCCGATATATAAGTATATAACATTACATTTGGAACAAGATATCAAATGATTTACATCTAATATAAAATATTTAAATATTTATAAAAATAAATAAATTTAATTACATTGACTTGATATATTTAAAAAAAAAATGCACAAATTCAATCTAATTTGTTGAGTTTTGATTGGATTAGATAACAAATTTATTCAAATCAAACTAAACTCAACCCGCTTACACTTGATTTATTGTAGTAATTTTAATAGGATATGTTGTTGATGTTGATGTTGTTGTTGTTGTTATTTTTATTTTTTATTATTTTTTTTATTGTTATATTTATTGATATCTCCGTCAAATATGAATGTGATATTTTTTTGTTGATATGCTTAATTTAAGCATTAAAGTGCTGATATAAAAGAAATGACGATATAAATTGAAATGAATATGAGTTATTTTATAATATGATATAAAAGATGTGGAAAACACAGTAAGAAAAGGTTTCTTAATTTAACTTATGGTGTAAATATGAATGTTTTTGTCTTATTTTAAAATTATAACTAGATATTGACCGCGTATTGTGCAGTTTATAAATAAATGGATATAATAATTTTGGAGAAATTAAAATTAATCAAAAGTATTTTATTGAATATTTATTAATTAAGAAAGTTTGTTAATATGTTGAATCTAATATCAGATTGATCGTAGTGTTCAAGTTTGATTCTTATTCAGATTTTATTAACCTTTTGATCAAGTTAAATTTGTTTAAGGTAAAGCCTTAGGAAATTAATAAGATTTTTTTTTAAGAAACTTATCAAAATTACTTAAAAAAAGATTGCCATTATATGGTGTCAAATTTATAAAATATAATTGTAATCTTAATAATTAAATAATCTAATATTTTTTTTAAAAAGAGTTTTAATAGGAACCTTTGTCAAAAAAATAAAAAACTTTTGACCAAATATAAATTTTGTGTTGCAAGAATATTTTATAACCAAATAAATAAAACTTTAAAAAATTAATCATTGTGAAATGTGGCGAGATCTTGAAAATTAATAGTTTATTTTAATTTTGTTGTTAAAAATTAAAGAAAGTGAAGTAGGTTGAGTTTATAATAGCAAAACACCTGACAATTATATAATTAGTAATGTAAAATTTATACTTTTAGAATAATAAATTATAGTTAATATGATAGGATAATAAATTATTTAAATATATATTCAATCTCCATAATATGTATATTATATTTAAGATAAAATAATCACGTTAATTAATATTTAAATTTTTTAAAAAATTAAATGACATTTATTTAAAAATACCTAATTTATGTATTATATAATTTGACATAAAAATGTGATAAAAAATATTTGATGAATTATATATATTTGATGTGTAACGACCTGTCATGGTCTCTACACTTAGTGGAATCACACTACTACTAGTGAACTAAGAGAAATATTAAGTTGGATAACTCATACATACAGGTATAAATAAGAATGAAAATAACTAAGTTTCTGGTTATAAAATAAAATACCACATATATATAGTCATCCCAAAAATAATATTTCACGTGCTAACATATGATTAAACTATTTCATAATGATTCTTACTTGAGGTGTATTGGATAATGTTGTGTAATCATTGCATTACTTAATATTTGGTTATAGTGTGTGAGTATGTCATTGATATGACATATTGTGAGCTATGTATGAATTGATTGATGTGCTTTAACATTGATGCATTTGATGTGTATGGATCCCGTGA